TATTCGAATTTTTTCCTATTTCCGTGCGTGACAATAGACCGGCCTAGTCGGACGGCCTCCTGTGAACATATTATTTAATTCATGAACTTTTTTTCAAATCGACAAACATTTTCAATTTCATGATATTTTTTGTCCAATTCATGATTTTTTTTCAAATCGATGAACTTTTTCAATTTCATAAACCTTCTTCATCCTTGGAGCTATGGGTGGGCACAAAAAGCGATAGACTGAAGACCACACTAAAAAACAATCTTTTTTGTTTTTTTGTGTTGATGTTGAAAAATTCATGTCACATGTAGCGACGAGCGCGCGTGTCACATGTACCGGCCAACGCGTATGCGGCTGGGCGTCAATTACATGGACCAATCAGATCACTTGCACAAAAAAGTTCATGAATTTCACAAAAACAAATCATGAACTATTTTTAAACGTGAACTATTTTTAAATCATGAACTTTTTCTTAAATCGGTGAAATTTTCAAATTCATGAATGTTTTCTTAAATTCGCGAACTTTGTTTTCAACTCCATGCACTTGTTTCCAAACCCACTCACTATTTTCAACTTTTACGAAAAAAATCCAAAACCCGTATTTTTTTTAAATTCGTTACATATTTTCATAATTGATGAACTTATTTTAAATCTGTGAATACTTGGGCCGGCGCAACGGGTACCCAACAGGATTAACGAAAATTGCAAATAAATGGGGCATTCAACTTAGGAAAACTACATGCTAACGGAAGCCTTCTCGGCTACCCGGACATCCTAAGTTTAACATGGTGTTTTTTCTACACAAATACACAAATATTCATGGAAATTAAAAAATGTTTCAATTTTCTGTTCCTACTTTCTGTTTCTTTTAATTACAATTTTTTAATGCATTTCAAAAATTATCCAAAATTCATAAAATGTTTGTGTTGACAATTTTGTTTGCCATTTTTAACAAATGTTCGTAGTTTGACATTCTAAGCAATTTAGAAAGACTCAGACATTTTTTTGGAAATTTTTGTATAATTTTTTAAAAGAGAATATTTGTATTTTATTAACAAAATTTGGAAAGCAAACATTTTTTGAAATTTTGGACAAATTTTTAGAAGGGCGGGCATTTTTTGAAAAAGGAAAAGAAAAACTAGAAAAATGCAAAAGAAACAAAAAAACTAACAGAAAAAGTGGAAAAAAGACCTGTTCGCTACAGTAAACCGGACGCTGAAAAGATAGTTCTAGTAGTCCACGCTTTTGTAGTAAGACATGAAAGCTTGTGAGCGTTTGTGCCTAGCAACGAGCGGTCAGCTGTGGGATTATAGGGTTTGATCCCTCGCACTCCCATTTCTTGTTTGATATATTTTTCCCAGTTTCCGCATGCGACAATGGGAAGCCTCGGCCAGGCGGCCTTTTGTGCTTGGCGCCGTCTATATAACTCTACTCCCCGAACAGCGAATCCTATTTGCCGCCCATGGGTGTCAAACAATCGCGGCTTCGCTCAAGCAAAGCGAGCGCCCGACATGACACCGGCCGGCCCACTTCGAGCAAGCAACCAATTTTGGGAACATTTTAGAAGGTTCTCTAAGTTTTTCTACTATTTTGATTTCATTTATAGTTTTTTTTCTGGTTTCTTCATATTATTTTTCTTTCTGCTTATTTC